AACTGAGAATTGAACTCAGGCCCTTGCACTTACCAGGCACCACTTATTCTAATGAGCCATCTCTTAATGAATCCTGAAGCCATATTTCAAAGCTGCCTAACAATGCTTTCTTACATACATTTCTTTGAAGGCCAAATGGTAACTATCCACACTGGGTTTTGTGTGCAAGAACTGTAATCCAGGCAATCTGTATTCATGATTTTGTTCATTTTGTGCTTGGGATTGAACCTACAGCCTTGTGGATGCTATGCACATACTTTACACTCTGCCCCATATGCATTATTTACTCATAAATCAAATGTTAGCAAATTTAAATGTATTTGTATTAAATACTAACATTAACATATAACAATAGTTGTGAATTTAACATGCAATGTTTCTATGATAAAGTACAGCATGAATGGCATGAAAACAACATGAGAAATGGAAGATTATAATTTATCATGCTTTCTCAAAATTACCACTAGGGTACAAATCAAATGTATAGCTAGTTTTCTCATCAGAATAACAAAAGATGTTTTGAAGTCATTATATAGAAGAGGAAAATTGTCACTCGCCTCAAACTACCTGTTAATCCAGTGTTGACTCTACTGGTGCATGTGCCTGATTAGATTACTGGGTGTGACCTGGAGGAGGGTGTCTCCCCACTAGCCCTTCTTTTCTCTCTGTATCTACGTCCTGACCACCATGATGTGCATGGCTCTCCCCCACTGTATGTTCACCTGTCATCCTGTCTCTACCTTGAAGCCGGTCAACTATGGAGCATAACTGTGAGCCAAAATCCAGCACTCCCTCAAGTTGTGGGGGTCAGGTACTCTGCCTCAGGAGTGAGGTGCAGGAGACACTACCAAAAGGAATTTAATCTCCTGTCAAATCAATATAGAATATCTTGGCATCTTAAATCAGTTGGTAATACAACAGAGCCCACTTCTGAATCTTCCACTTGGTCCCTTCCTTGTAAACACACGAAGAATGGAATCCAAAGGACTGTTTATATACAGCATGATTTAAAAGAGAAACAGACTTAGTTATTTCTAATTAAATTTCGCATTGATTTCATGTGGAGAAATAACATCCTATTTCAGGGCTTGTTCTTATTTTCTCTCTTAGAACTTCTGTGATAAGCTTTGTTTGTTTTTTGGTCTGGCAGCATCATTTTGGGTTATTTATTCATTTCATTGCTGAATAAAACACGTGAGAATAAGACAATCCTCAGGGGCCTCTTTGCTTCTAATGCTAAGTGCCAAACCTGAACTAAGTGATTGATAAAATTGTGTTAAATGAGAAAGACCTCTTCCTACTAAGAAGCATTGTCTCTGCTGATGCTTCCCAGTAAACGGGATACTGGAACATGAACTTACGCAGCTTGGTGGATAACTCGGGATTTTTCCAGAAGATACTCAGAGATTTGTGCACCCACTACAGCTCCAGAAGAGGTAAATTTCATTTCTAAGTATTTTCCAAATCGGCTGGAATTGTCATTTATAATAGTGCAGGCATTACCAAATGCTTCTACCAAATTGTTCACTTGTAAAATCTTCTCTTGTAAGGTTCTGTTATTAGCCTAGGAAGATGATGTCAAGATATTTAAAAAGCATAAAAATATTCATAAAAAGATCTCACTTCTTTATAAGCACTTTACATAGACACAGACCCTAGAATATCTTCTCAATAGATTACCAGATGTTACAGTCTCGGCTGTGTTTCCCCACCCATCTGTGTATTCACTTGTTTAATTCTTTAAAAAAAAAAAGGCAAAAAGTTACTCTATATTTTCTTTTCAAATACAGTTCTGGTTAGGTCATGATTTATAGACAAAAATTATAAACAATCTGTACCTTCTGGAATACACCTCTCGCTGTTCTTATTCCCACTTGCCCAAACTGGCCCCACCCAAACCTCCCCAAAGCCTGAACCGTTTCCCTTGCTTTCACCGCAGCTGCTAACCCTGAAACTAAGAGTAAGATGCTTTGTGGATTCTAAGTGGTGGACAGTGAATTGTGAACTGTAAGAGCAGTCCAGAATGTAGTGGGGAGAGGGCAACCCCAACTAAGGCCAGCAGTCCAGCTGGCTGTCTCTGTTTTTTTCTTACTCCATCTCTTAAGCTTTGGCTCTCAAACAAGTATTATGTTTTATTTTTCTTCTTTATCACTTTACCTAAAACCTCACCAGGGAGAAATTTATTTGGACTAACAGCAATCCACTTTTAAAAAGATATGTCCACCTTTCTACCACTTTAGAGGTTTGAGAAGGTACCAGTCACTTCCATCTTGGCAGAAATTAGCACAAGATTATGGCCAGTGCTACACCTTAATACCTTGTTGAAGTCATCTGTGTCAATTAGACATTTTGTAGCATGAGGAAGTGGAGTAGAACCAATTTCTCAGAACTAGACTACACCAGAATTTGAAGGGACTGAAGGAGCAGTCAGCCTGAAGTTTTAAGGCTGGGTGAGGATTTTTGGGAGTATTCTAAAAGAGTCAAGAAGGGGTTTAAAAAGGACAGCATTGAATATCAGTACAGATTTAGCTGTTTAAAAAATGTTCTGTGCTGCAGTGGAGTTCTGTTCTGCCATAAAGAAGGACAAACTTGAAGCATCTGTAAATAAATGGATGCCTCTTGAGGCCAAAATGTTAAGTGAAAGAAATCAGACACACAAGTTTAAATATTGCAGTTTCTCTTACATGAGAAACCTCAAATATAAAGAGCAAAATGAAAGATAAATAATAAAAATAGTAAAGAGATCCTTTTCAAGTGTGAAGGGGGGGGGCCTCCCGGTTAGCTCAGTTGTTTAAATGCCTGCTCACGCAAACACAGTCAGGTGCAGGATACCCTGGTTCAATCTCTAGCTTCACCTGCCTTACCACACCTGCCCTTCAGGTAGCCTGAGCCACCAAAACAAACAAACAATCCTTCAAGTGGAAGGAGAACAAGAGGTGGAGAGGAGAGGGAAGGAATGAAAATTTTTTTTAAAGAATCAAAGAAAAAATGGAAATAGAGCATTTCCAAGTGGGAAGGGGATCAAGAGTTGGAGGGAGCAAGGAGGGATGGGAGAGGAAGGGATCAAAGCATTAGGATGTGTTACCTACATGCACAAACTCCTCACAATAAATGTAATCACTGCATACTGCAAACTTGTACTAACACAAATACATTAATAAAATATACAAGTAACATACATTTTGATAAAATTTGTATTAAAAATGGTTTGTACTGATTTTGAAGTGATGCAAAAGGTAGAATAATATCATTAACCTGTATTAAATATCCAGGGTTGGAGGTACACATATACCAAAGTTAAGTTCTACCAAACACCCCAGTTTTGCATAGGGTAAATCTTCCATCAAGGAGATATGTAAAAGCAAGATAAGACCTGATAAGGGAAGGGTTCTCTCTATGTGGATACACAATTAAATTACATTTTAAGATTTAGGTCAAGATGAAGAGATTAGATCTACAAGTTTGCTGACATCTACAAGACAATAGACACACATTTAATTCATTATCCATGGGAATCTCTATCTGCCCACAAATCAAGACAGGGTGGCAGAGCCTTCGCCTATGGCCCTCGAGATTAACTCAGGTGCTCAGCCACTGTACCCACAGTGGTAGGCAGAGCTTCCCTAGCCCCTGCCTGTGTGTCATCTTACTTCACTGTGCTAAATCTACTCTATTGTATCCTAGACATAGTCTAGGGGGCTGACAGGCAAAGACATGGAGAGGGACTAAGATCAGATCCCCGAGGTGGCCGCTTCTTTCTGATCCTTACCAGCTCTTTCAGTCACAAGGACAATAGGTCCTGAGAGCAGAGGTTATTAGCATACTGAACAGAGTACATGTTTACTCCATACCTACATCCCTCATAAAAAATATTAAACTAGTCGACTGCTTTTCAACAGAACATTAAATTCTTTCTACTTATCATTTTCAATACAAATTAGGCTCAACTAAGAGTCGATTTGCACTGTGCAAACTTCTCTTTTTATAGAGAGATTAGATCTCACCTGTACCCTATGGTATTCAAAATATAAAATTTGTATAGTCACAGTGTTGGTACAATTTTTGCCATGGCTCTAATTATAACTATGTAGATCATAATACAATTTTCATAAGATTTAATTGTATATAATTACTTCATATTTAAGTTGCTAGCTTAATGAGAAAATATAATTGTCTTATCTCATTTTAGGGGCTTTAGTGGAAAATCAAAGACTCTTCAACATCTTCTAAAAAATTAATGTATAATTTATATATAGATTCATTTCTCATAGTGTACAGCTGAAAGTTTTTATTGACATATACTATTAATACATACAACCATTTAGTCTCCAGTATAATTTTTTTCACCCTGTAAAATTATCTTTTGATCTTCTATAGTTATCTCTCCCTCTGCTTCCAGCACCTAATACTCACCTGTGTTCCACTGTATCCCATTGTATGTCATTGTATACAAGAATGGCATAGAAATTGAATTATATGGCACATAGTATTTTCAGTCTGACTTCTCTGATTTAGAGTAACATATCTGTGATTCATCTAATGGGATTCACTACTTGTATGAGTGTTTGTTCCTTTTCATTACTTAGTAATGTTGAGCTTTACGATGTACTACAGTTTGCTTATCTATTCTTTAATTTGGTTTTTCCCTCTTTCTGAAGCTTATCAATAAAAATCACTATAAATATTTGTCTACTAGTTTCTGTATCAACATGTGCATTTATTTCTTCTGAATAAACAGGAGTAGGACTCCTGGATCACATGGTGAATGTAGTTTAGCTTTAGAAAAAAAAATCACATTATTTTCTAAAGTGGTTGCACCATTTTTTTATTCTTACTTGTACCACATATGAGAGATCCAGCTGCATTCCATCCTAATGAGCACTTATCCTTGTAAGATCTTTAAAATAATTTTTAGCTAATATAACATGTGTTTAATAGTAGTTTTCATTTGAATTTCCCAAATGCCTACTGTTGTTTAACAATTTTCTATTTATTTGTCATTTATACATCATCATATATCATTTATGTATCATTCGGTGAAGTGACTATTGACATCTTTCCTCTATTTTTTTATCTTTTGATTTCTTAATATTGAATTTTAAAAGTTTTTTTCATGTAGCCTAAATAACTAGGTACAACAGAATCAACAGAGAATAAATCTTAATTTGAGTAAAAATTCAATTTGTCCTTTTATGAATTATGCATTTTTATTATATCTGAGAATTTACTGGCTGACAACTCAAGATCAAAATAATGTTTTGTAAGGTTTTATAGCTTTAGATTTTACATGTAGGCTTATGATTCACTTTGAGTTAAATTTTTATCAGATATGATGTCTAAAGTTTATTGTGGGGAGAAGGGACACTAGGCACATGAAATTATTTCAATACTATTTGTTTAAAAGACTGCCATTCCTCACCAGTTGACCATGTGCCTTTCCTAAAAATAAGTAATATATGCAGGTTGTTTATTGTATTCCATTAATCTATATGTCATCCTTTATTATTTTTATTTTTATTTCTCCGCAGAAAATTGGAGGACTTTTTCTTAGCTAATCCAAGCTCCACAAACTCAACAACTCAATCTTTTTACCAGTATATCGATCATATAATTTAGTATTACTGAAGTTGTCACATGAAATATACAGACATCTTATATCTTTGACAAATGTTGCCAAAACTTCCAAGGGGGTTGATTAATTGACACTCCCACTAATGCATTCTATATCAGCATTCTAAATCATCAGAACAATATTTAAAAAACAATTATTTGTTTCAGATGGTATTTAAGTTTTAGCAAAATGAAACAGTTTTTCATATTTGTTTATTTTGTACTCTTGCAAAGTACTTCAGCTGTTTTTTATTAAGTTATATGGAATCTCATAAGTCAACATACCCACTTGCCTGGCAAGCACAGGGTCCTGAGTTCAATCCCTGGTATCAAAAAAAAAAAAAAATCAAGATACCCATGTGTTTTGGCTGTAATGTATGTCCAATATTTTTCCTAGCCTTTTTTTTTCTTATTGTGGTTAAATTTACATGACATCAAGCTTACTATTTAACTATTTTATGTGAAAATTCAGTGGCATTAAATTCATTCATAATATTGCCCAATTATCACTACCATTGCTAACCCTTTTTTTTATCATCCAAAGAATCTCCAGCAGAAATCAGCAGTACAACTATCCAGGCTATCCTGTGTTTATACATATAAATTTCTCTTTCCTTTCTTCCTTCTTTCTTTTCTCCTTTTCCTGATCCTGGTTGTTCCTTCCCTTTGAACAGCTTCTTTAAAGGAGCAGTTAATGCTTAATTTTTTTCTCTCTCTTTCATTTATATATACATGTATATATAAAATTATATATGTATTAAATATATAATTAATATATATATAATTAAGTATATATCAATAAATATATATATTTACCAATTTTGCATGCTTATATCTGGTAATCTGAACAACTAATTAAAGACAACAAAATGCAATATAACAACCATTATTGAATTTCTATCATTTTGTTTAGTGAAATTTAGTATCATTTCTGTTTTTTACTAGTTTTTTCAATTTACTTTAAAAAAATAACAATATAACAAATTTGCAATAAGCATGCTCCCCCAAACAAAAACCCTCAATAGGACTGCACAGTAGATCCCTATGCCTCCCTGCCCTAGGCCCCTGTTAATCTCTAATCATCCATATGTCTCTTTAGACTTGTATTTTTATATGCTCCATATGAATTAAATCAGGCATGTACTCTTACGTTTGGCTTTTTTTAAAAAAACTTTTTAGCATCTTCAAATTTTATTCAAGTTGTATTTATCTATTTTTTAAAAAATTTGAGTTGCATTAGAATTCTATTCCTTTTATGGCCAAATAATATTCCATTGTATATATATTCCATATTTTGTTCATTCATTCATCTGTCAATAAACAAGAGCTGTGCCCATTCTTTGGCCATTGTGGCTTAGGATGCTATGGATATTTACATACAAATATTTGTTTGGTACCCTGCTTTAGAACAGCTCTCTTATATGGTAATTATTAACTTTTTGAGCAGTACCTGTTTTGTACAATGACTACACTATTTTACACTACCATCAGTTTTGCACGAGGGATTTGCCTTCTTCCCACCCTTGCTGACATCTGCTGTTCTCTGTTGTGCTGTCATTGTGTGCTTGTTTGTAACCATCAGAGTGGATGTGAAATTGCATGGAATTCTGTGTCAGATCTGCCATTCCCAGATGACTAATAATGCTGAGCATCTTTCATGTGCTTCTTGCCCATTGTCCGTTCTTCGTTGTAAAAATGTCCATTCAAGTTCTTTCTCACTTTTTAATTGCACTGTTTCTTCTATGTTTTTGCATGTAGGAGTCTTAATATACATTCTGGATAGTAGCGCTTTGTTGGACATTTAATTTGTAAACATTGTTCCCATTATGTGTGTTGGCTTTTCATTCTGTTGCTAGTCTTTTGATGCACAAAAGTTTTCCACTTTGACTAAATCCAATTTATTCTTGTTATTGACTATATTTCTTATGTTGTGTTTAAGAAACCATTGTAAGTGTAATGTCATCAAGTTTTCTCCTTAATTTTCTTTTGATAGGTTTACAGTCTTAGCTCTTTAATCCATTTAAAATCCCTTCTATTTTGTGTGTATAGGCTTCCTCAGAGATGGTCTCTGTTAAATTCTGTTTATCAGATGAATGGCCACAAAGAAAGTGTCCTACTTAGGAACATTGCAGTTGTGAATTTTCACAGGTGTACTGTAAAGCAGACTCATTTTTGTAAGATTATAAATGAATCCAAATTACAAACATTGTCCCAGAACAGAACTCCTGAAATCAGAGGCTCACTGTATTTCCTATTTTCTGACCTTTTCATTATGGCCACTTTGGAAATCTTTTCTGTTTCACAGTCCACTAATTAGGTTGAAAGGCTTGTTGAGGGCTCAGGCCTTCTGTGGGCGACCTGCCATGTGACTTTCATTAAGTGTGCAGTGCACGTTGTGCCGGGTCACTGTTTTGTCTGGCCCCATCATCTCTGCGGTCAGCCAAGGAGAACAGCCTCTCCTTTGCCAGCATTGCCTTCTGTTGATAGAAGTGTCCAGCATGTGCCCAGCTCTGGAGAGCTAATTCCAGTCAGTTTCAGCACAATGAAATCATGGCAGGACCAACCTCAAGAGCTCTGTTTTGCAAGGCAGTGTCTGGTCTTGCATTTTCGAAGTCATTCATCTTTATATGTATATTCCTTTATGGTTTTAAATTTAGTGTCTTAACAAAGAAAGCTGCACACACACTGAAATTACTAAAAGCAAATAAAAACTAACTAAAAACCAATATTATGCATATTTATCTTAAATAACATTGTATGATTTTGGTTTTTATATCTTAAGAAGTTTTCCTACTTTGTGTTTTCTCTCTTAGTGTGAGAGATGTAATCTATCCCTCCCATGGGCTGTCTCTGCATTTTCTCTTCATTTTTCACCTCATTGCATAGGAGACAAGTGACTGACAAAGAGTTCTAACCAGTGTTCAAAACCAAGGTGGAGTGTTATACCTTTGGACACACCTGGCAGGAGGTATCCTGCGACATTTGTTATTCTGAAGACATTTTGGTTGTCACTCTGGTGGCAGAAGCTGCTGAAAGGCAGTCTCTTTGAAAGACTGGTGCTGCCATACTGTCCCTTTTTTGTGAAGATCTTGATGGGAGATCCATGTGCAGCTTTGCCAACAGCAGTGTTTGCCTAGGGAGCACTTCATGGTCCTTCAGGCTGAGAGGATGACTTGCTGGCAGTGTATATGTACAGGATATGGTATGAGCAGTCCCTTGTAAGGTTTCAGTCCATAATCAGCTGGCTCCAAGGCAGGGGAGCATGGCACAGGGCAACAGCCCAGAGTGGCAGAAAAGAGCAAAAGTGGCAAGGGCACAGTGGGCATCCTTCAGTAGCTCGCTGCTTGACTACTGCCTTTTAGTACATCTGGAAGTCAGGGAGAGTTACTATTTTCCACCTTTGTTGCTTTCAAAATTCTATTTCTTTGCCTTTCTACATATCTTGTTGATTCAGTGTGTTAATTTCCACCAATAAACTTTCTGAGATTTTTATTACAATTACATTGAACCTACAAATCAATTTATGTGAGATTTTTTTTTAAACATTTATTTATTTATTTATTTATGTGTGTGTGTGTGTGTGTGTGTGTGTGTGTGTGTGGCCAGCTCAGCCCACCAGGGGGCAGGGCTGGCTGGCATGTGGTGCTGGGGGATAGAACCACAGTCCCTGTGCATTGCCAAGCTTGTTTCAAGTAGGTGCTTTAGACCACTGAGCCATCTCTCCAGCCCCTACAAATCAATTTATAAAAGAAAGACCTCAGTAACATTTAATGATTTAAGCCATACACATGTTATATACCTCCATTTAGTTCTTAGATTTCTTTTATGATTTTTATTTGTTTTTTAGGATACATATCATATATATGTATATATATGATTTAGGTGTACATATTTTATGCTTTTTGGTGCTATTGTAAATGGTACTTTTAAACTTCAATTTGTAATTAATTGGTCAATATATATATATATATATATATATATATATTACATAGGCAATTGATTTTTGGTATAATAACTATTTTAGTCTTCTAGAGACAAGAGGAGAGAAAATATAGAAAACATTCAACAGCTGTACTGGGCTAACAAGAAAATCATCTTTACAGACTTTCCTAATGTTGTCTCCCCAAAAGTCTCACTGGTTCAGAGATGCAGCTTTTCATAAGTGATTAGGTCACTGCAGAACTGTATCCGTCAGTATATAAGCCCACCGATGAGTTTGTAGCTGGCTAGGTTGTGAGTAGGCAGGCCCGGCTGAATGTTGGGCACTAGATATAGGACCTAGAAGAGTGTCTTCTTATCCCAAACTCCTTCCTTGTCTGTCTGCTTCCTGGCTGCCACGGAGTGAGCAGCTTCTTCCACCTGCCCTCCCACCATGCTGTTTGTAGGAGGAGTCAGCCAGCCATGGGCAGGCAGAACCCACCGATGTTGAGCCCAGAGCATCCTCTTCTTTATGTTATAGGTGTTGAGATTCTGTCGCAGCAACAGCGAAGCAGTTAATGTACCTAATAAGAATATAAAAACTGCAACATTTTCAAAACACAATATATGTTTTAATGTTATTTGTTATATTTTAGCTGAAAACATAATTATCTGTTATAATTTCCAAGCATTATTTAATGTGGGAACTAGTGAACAAGACAGAAAATTATCTGTTATATGAAGTTTTAAAATATAGCAATATTTTAGTACAGAGAAAAGTAAATTCTACCTTTCCGAGCACTGTTAGCTGCTGAACTAAAAGATGAGCACTTTCAGTCTTTCCAGCTCCACTTTCTCCAGAAATAACAATGCACTGCATAGGAAGAAAAGGAGACTGTGAGAAGACTTCAGTCTCACAGAGTTCACCTGGCACACCAGAAGCTAGAAGGGGAATTTCTGAGAGTGCAACAGGACTCGCCTTACCTGGTCTGAACTGTACGTGACCATAGACTGATAGCCTACGTCAGCCACTGCAAAAATGTGAGGAGGGTTGGCAGTTCTCTTTGCTCCAATATATAGTCTGGAATGCTTGAGGTTGAAAAGAATATGTCTTTTAGGCTTTTAAATTTTTTTCTCTTTTTATTTAAGATGTGGATTATTTACAGATATGGTTCTAATTTTAAAAGCAAAATATAAATAAAAATATCATTTCATGGCAACATAGTATCATTACATACACTGCACATACATACATATATACATGCACAAATTGTAACAAATTATGTAAAAGAAAAGTCTGACATAAAACAGCCTTGGAAGCCAGGCGTGGTGGGGCACACGTCTAATCCCAGCACTTGAGAGGCTGAGGCAGGGAGATTGCTGTGAGTTCGAGGCCAGCTTGAGCTACACAGTGAGTTCAAAGCCAGCCTAAAGTACACAGCAAGATACTGTTTCAAAAAAAACAAAAAAAAACCCAAAAACCCAGCCCATGCATATGGTATGATGTGAAAGAATATGACATCACTGGAAGTAGACTTAAAAGATTTTTGCATGTTATTTCCAAAGCAGAAATTAAAGCTTCAAAATACTATAACTTGATTAAATAAAAAATTTTATAAATACAACAATCAAGTATCATGCTGTAGACTACTCTTTGGATATAATGTCTAATGTGCAACCACTACTTTTTCCCTCATACTTCATTTAATCTGCATTGTCACACTTGGTTTGTATGCAGTCACACGGTATAGTAAGGCCCAAATGTATAAAAAAGCCCAACTTCTCTGGTCTATGTCACAGCTCATAAATTTATCATTATTCTTATAAATTTGAGAGTGGTAATGGGAAATAGCTATGTATTTTTCATGATTAAAATAACTATTAGGTACAATATTAATTAACTTCTATGCATATGTATAGAAAGAAAAGAATAGGTCCACTTAAAAATGAAAACAGTTTAGTTTAGTTCTATATTTAAACTATTAGGGTTGAATACCTGATAATTATATATCATATTCATAAAATACACACTGTGTGGTAATAATGAAGCCAATCAATATATTACAATGAACAGTTAAACTCCCAAATTTTACAACTACTAAGTATATATTTTGCATATAATTATATATTTGCATATATTATAGTTCTATTTTTGAATCTCAAATACCTGGTTCAGAGGGAGATACTAAACATACACTTTTAAAGCATCTGTTTAGTAAAATGCTATGTAGTATCAAGTTGTTGCTAGTAACTGGATATAATTAACATCCATTGGAGAAAGGAAGAACAGAAACCGCATCTAGATCGACTTCATCTATTTCTTTTATATTTATATTCTAACAGCAATTCTATAATTGTTGTTTTGAAAGTGCTAGATAAAATTTTTTTTGCATCCATTTACATCAATCATCTGGAAAATATAATTATTTGTACAAAGTAGGAGAGTACAAGGCATGATACATACCTTAGTGGAATACAGACCTAGACTCTGAAAAGGGTTAAGAGCAATGAGTATATCTCCCACATAGATATAGATTTGATCTTTGGAGTAACACTTCTCAAGCTGCCCCGAGACTGTATTCTGTAGAACAATAAAAATTTCTCTCTTCAAAATCATTGTGGGAAACTACAACTTAACAGGAACATAGTAATAAATAAAACACCTAGACTCTAGAACACAGGTTAGAAATAGGCATAGTATCAGTAAAAATGTAACATCAGACACGCAATTGACTGGTATTTTTCCTCTAGCTTTGAGAACCAAATGGGCATATCAGTATTAACTTCATTTTCCAAAGGAAATATTATGTTTACTATTATATGTTTTATGTTATATGCAATATACTTTATTGAATTCAAGGAAATAAGTAAATTAAGAGGATAAAATAGAGAAAGAGAATTGTGAAAGCGGAAGGAAAGATGCAGTGAGCATGGCTGTATTTTGAATTGAAGTCATTTAACAGCTTTATGGAATATTCTAGTTGTTTCCTCAGATGCTTGGTTGTGTAAGGCAGAGGGAAAAATTGGGAGAAGCAACTTTCATAGTTGATAAATGATAATCACATGAGTCAATTTAAAATACTATTATTTTATAAATTGTCATTTATAGAACATAACACATGACAGCAACAAGAAATCATATGGTTAAAAAGAAGTAAAAATACAAAATACACATAGTATAGAGAGAATAAGCCCAGCGTATCATATATTAAAAGAATTGATAACAATATCACTGGTGAAACCTTTATAATTCACATCATCACAAAATTCACTATATAAGAATTAGGGAAGGTATTTGATCTTAAGACATTTGATGTTCCTGAGAAATATTATTTTGAGAAAGTCTTGAGTTATTTATATTAAATTTCCCAAATGACTTTGTGTTAGATTTTTATTATTGGAACAAATACCTTCAATCTTTCAAGTAATAAAGAGAAGAGGTTTGTCCTGTGCAGTGGTGCAGATTGCGCTAGGGACTGTGGGGAGGCAGTGCGTGATGGTGGGAACATGTGGAGGACCGAGAGCTGCTCACTGTGGGTACAAGAGTGGAAACGCCCAGGTCCCACAGCCCCTAAGGACCTGCAGCCTCTATGGTCCCACCTCCCAATAGCACCACAGGCGGGAAGCCAATTGCTTAGCACCTGGAGCTGTGGTGAACATTCTGGATCCAGAAACTGCAGAAGATCACTTCTGGTCAGCATGCATCTCTTGCTTTGTTGTATTTTTCAGCAAAATGTTTAGGCATGTTAATAAAATATTAAATAAACAAAAGTTTATTAACTAAGTAGAAGCCCTAAACTTTACTGAAAAAAGGGCCACTTACTTCTCAAATGATCTGATTATCTGGAATAAGGTGTGGATGAGGGAAAGAGATGCCAAGATTACAGCTTCGTGGCATAGAATTTTACCTTCACAAAAAAGATTTCTCAAGTATTTCTAAAGTAATTGGAATAAACTGTCTCAAGCAGAATTCAGTGCTCTAAAAATATGAGCATGTCACCTACAGTTCACTCCTTTGGGCTTTGTGGTCCTATGGAGGGACCCAGGGCCTGGTAACAGAAACGTTCTCATGCTATCATGGTGGATTCTGGGTTCTGCCACTGAAAGTAGGGGAGAAGAGGGAGGATGCCGGCTGGTGGTTTAGAAGGCAGATTTAGACACAGCAAGTCATACGTTTGAGACTTTTGGAAGTAACTGAAGAGAAAAAAGATCTACAACTCAACAACTCATGCTAGGGGCTTGCACACCTTTGCCAGCTGAGCATTAAAAAATTGGCATGAAGCTAGAAAGATCTGGAAATTTGAGTTTTATTATTAAAACTGGAGATAGATGAGCTAATCAGAAAGTTGAGGGGAAAAAGGAGACAGCTGTCATTCAAAGACTCCTTTGGAGAGTCA